ATATAATCTCCTAAACAAAGGAGTTCTCTCTTGTTTCTCTCTTGTGTTCTTGGCTAGCCTTTGACTTCCCTGTGGACCCCACATGCAATGGACTAATGAACTGCAATGGGAAACACAAATTAAGCTAGCCTGATGCTGGATTGGACTCTGCAGACATGGAAACTCTGGACACTGGCTCTGATTTAAGCTCTACTGAAGCCCCAGTTATACTTCTTCTATGGGTGGTGGGGGGGGATGGACAAAGGGAAATGGGACTTTGGAAACTCAAGGATCTAATTCCACTGAAATAAAGCTTTCTACCATATCTCATCCTCCTGTGTGAGTCTCAGAAAATTCCTTTTCTCGGGATATCACAGAAATTCCATCCCCTCTAGCAACTGGGGGAGATGAGGCCCTCTCTCCTCTGTCAACACAAATACTAGTACATCCCAGCCACTTCATCCCTGCATTCTGACACAATGCTGTAACTCTCCCTTTCATTAATAGAGATACACAACTAAATAAACTATCAATTTGACCAGGAAACCAAAAGCCTTCTTATGGACACTTGTTCCTAAAAGGCTACCTTCCTATCTTCACTTCTGTTAGACACAAGAAATAAGTCTTCAGCCATCTCTGATATGAGAAATAAGGCAAATTGTTGATCATCACGTCCCATCAGTGGCAGAGGACATTGCCAAGATATTTCAAATGGCATTTTCAGTGATCTCATTGAAGTGCCACTTTCTCCTCTCTCTATTGCAGTGGTTCTCAACCTTCCTAATGCTGCGACCCTTTAATACAGTTCCTCATGTTGTGGTGACCCCCAACCATAAAATTATTTTCGTTGGTACTTCATAACTGTAATTTTGCTACTGTTATGAATCATAATGTAAATATCTGATATGCAGGATGTATTTTCATTGTTACAAATTGAACATAATTAAAGCATAGTGATTAATCACAAAAACAATATGTAATTATATATGTGTTTTCCAATGGTCTTAGGCGATCCCTGTGAAAGGGTCGTTTGACCCTCAAAGGGGTCGCGACCCACAGGTTGAGAACCTCTGCTCTATTGCCTTACAGGCAAACCCTGCAATTGTTTAAATGAGAGTCTCAGTAAGGCACTGACAGGCATTCTTGCATACTTAAAAGCCACAGTGGCATATGCTGACTTCCTCAAGTATCCGTCCTGCCTCTTTTCTCTTTTACATCCAAGGAAATTAGTTCCTTCACATAAAGGAGACAAAAGTTTCCTTTTTGTAGTCAAATAATGGCAACTCTGAATAAAATTCCATTCTCCACAATGAGAAAACTTCTGTGGCAATCTGAAGTGGCTGGCACCCTTGGCCATTCCTTCTCCAACACTGGATATAGCTATAGGTGCCCTAAAAAAAAGTCCATGTGACTCTGCCCCGGGCACTCAGATGTTTTCGGGCTGCACTTCCTCTCCTCTCTCCTCAAACCTCTAGTCCTGTCTACATATCTGTGATTTCCAAGTGCTCTGACCCAGGCCTTTTGACAGCAGCGAGATGTGAGGTCAGGTTCTTGAGATGTCAGGAGCACTAATTTTCTGGCTCCAGGACCCCCTGGGATACCTGCTCTACAGTCAGAAATCAGAGCAGCCTCATTGCTGAGCCCAACTCAAGCCCCCAGGACCCCAGGCAGGTGGTTGTCACCCAAACTGCATGCTGGGTAAGGAACTAAATAATTTTTCTGTTTCATTCTTTATAGATCACAAGTACTTCCATGAGCATTTTAATCTGATTCTGATTAGCTTTATCTTGAATTAAGGAGGCTGGGTGTAATGTCACTGCTATCTTTCATATGAGAAAATAGAAACACAGAAGATGCCACAAGTCATCTGAATAAATGGGGGGGTCAGTATAAACTACTGTTAAGTCACACTTCTGCTCCTATAGTATTTCTACAACTATCATTCCTAATAACACCACCAACAGCAATAGTAGCTTCTGAATACTATATTTATGAGTTTTGACAGAAAGAATTCAATGCACAGCATTAGAAAATAATACTTCTAATTTAATTTTGTAACTTCAGTTAATAATTATCTGGCAAGTATTTGCTTTTGAACATGATCGCCTACATAATTTGTGGGGCCCAATGGCAAAAGAAAATGTGGGCCCCCTTTTACAAAAATTAAGAATTTCAGCACCATGACAGCAGAGCATCAAACCATCTAAGCATAGGGCCCTATGAGACTACACCGATCAAAATCCCATGAAGCTAGCCCTGCTTTTGAGCCCTCAAGAGACTCTTAAGCTTTTCGGTTTTTTAAATATATTTTTTTATGGATTTCAGAGAGGAAGGGAGGGAGAGATAGAAATAGCAATGATGAGAGAGAATCATTGATTGGCTACCTCCTGCTCGCCCCACACTGGGGATTGAGTCCGCAACCCAGGCATATGCCCTGACCGGGAATTGAACCCTGACCTACTGGTTCATAGGTCGAGGCTCAACCACTTAGCCATGCCGGATGGGCGAGACACTTAAGTTTTAGGATGATGTTTAATTGTAGAGAAAAGGGAGGAAACATGTTATTAGATCTCTGATTCTTCTGATTTCATGAAAACTTTTGGTTTTGTTAACCTTGTAAATTCATATATCATCAAGAGTATCATTAGAATTAGAGATGTGCCACAATTCCTGGATGATAAGTCTGGGTTTTTTTTCCCATTGATTCTTGAGATAATGTGCTGATTGCAGAGTTTTTATTCTTTTTGCTGACCCTTTCGAATACTGTATAAAACAAAAACTGGGAAAGTAGCTCAATTGCCATTCCTCCCTCTCTTAGACCCTTCAGTTAATAAAGGATACATTGAATATGTTAAAACTAATCTAAGCCATGACAAGGAGAAAGGCTTCCTCTGTTAGCCCACTTACGAAAAACAAACAGTGCCATTGAAGGCACAGCCTCACACAAGGCTGTACTAAGTGATCTTACAACAGACATGCTAGACATTTTCAGTCTGGAGAGATTCAGCCTGCCCCCAGCCATAGCTCTACCCATCATGATTCTTCCCTAGCCCTCCCACTTTCAAGACAGAAAACAAATAAAAGAATGCTAAGAAAACCATCATATAATTAAGATGAAATGTATAATGTAAGGTTATTTAAGTGTACTATGATACATTTTTAAAATGAGAACCATGTTTTGTTTTTTGTAAATACAATAATACACAGAAAAGTGTTTTTACTGGGCTGTTTGATATCTTAGAGTTTGTCTTTCTTTACTCCACGATCCACCTTTTCTTGACAAATGACTTACCGTATCTAATTCTAAGATGCTTATTTTCTTCACATTTTCACATCTCTGAAATCAGAATGTACCTTTTAATCAATGCAATTTTACAATCACTGTCATCCAGGAGGCATTTGAAAGGGAGATGTCATTGCCAGTATATACTCAAACTTGGTGGTGGCTATTGTAGTATCATAATCTATAATAATAAAAGCATAATATGCTAATTAGACCAGATGAAGCTGGGGCTGCAAGGGAAGCCCAGGTCCCGGGTGCCTGCCAATGGCCGGAGGGAAGCCGGGGGAAGGAAGGCCTACTCTTGCATGAATTTCCTGCATCAGGCCTCTAGTATATGATAAAAACATATATCTAAATAAACCAACAAATATATTTCAGTAAATATAAAATTAAAGTTCTATGGATTTGGCCCTAACTGGTTTGGCTCAGTGGATAGAGCATCAGCCTGCGGACTGAAGGGTCCCGGGTTCGATTCAGGTCAAGGGTGTGTACCTTGGTTGCGGGCACATCCCCAGTAGGGGGCGTGCAGGAGGCAGCTGATCGATGTTTCTAACTCTCTATCCCTCTCCCTTCCTCTCTGTAAAAAATCAATAAAATATATTTTTTTAAAAAAGTTCTATGGATATGAAAGCATTGCATCAGTTTTTTTAGAATTTTTTTCTTAGTGTTACATAAAAACACAATTACATAAAAAAATCTCTAATGCGATGAAACACTTCATATCTTCAATAGAATACAATATCTGCCACTGACAGTTTTGAAGAGTTTGAAAAGCTTCACTTGCACCCATTGAGAAGCCATCCAAAATTCATATTGGGAACATTTCTAGGTACTAATAAAAGACAACTTTTTAAATATCTTTAATAAAATGTTGGGGTTTGTTTTTGTCTTTGTTTTTACTTTTTTTAGCTTACAAGTAGAGATTCCTCAACCTGGAAACCCAAACACTAGTAAAAGGTACTGGCTACATCAGAATAGAGTAGCAGACAAATCATTTCCTTCCTGTGGTCATGTTTTTAGAGGAAGTTAGAGAATTCCAATATAAGCTATAGAGCAGTATTATTATATAACTAGGGGCCCAGTGCACAAATTCATGCACCTTGAAAGGAACTGTGGGCCGTGAGGCTGCGGTGGGCACAGGGGCGGGTCTCAGCCCATCCTCTCCACCTCCACCTGGCCCCTCCTGCCATGGCCCCCAGTCCTGGTCTGCCGGCAGCCCCGTTCCCGCCGCCGCTCCCACGTGCTGATGGCGCTGGCCCCACTTGCATCTGCTGATGGCACGGAGCGATTGGGGCTGGCACCAGCAGTGGGTGCCAGCCGGGATGGTGCAGTCAGCAGGTGTGAGCAGCGGCTATTCTCCCGATTGCCCCTTAGGAGCAGGGGGAGGTGAAGAAGCCCTCAGGGTGATCGGGGCTGGCACCAGGTGCTGGCAACAGGTGTGAGCAGTGGCTCTGGTGCTGGCAGTGGGTGCAAGTGAGACCAGAGCCGGTAGCAGGTGCAAGTGGGGCTAGCGCTGGCAGCAGGTGCGAGCGCTGGGCAGGACCTCAGTGTGCGGGAGCAAAGAATTTTCAGTAACCACCAGAGGCTCGCCCTGATGACAGTGACTGGCACCCTGCCCTGGTCTGGCGCCCCCACTCACCCGCTCCACCATCCTGCCACGACACCTGCTCCACACTCTGCTGCCTGCTGCTGACGCCTGCCATGTTCCACGCATGCCCCCTGGTGGTCAGCTCACGTCATAGCGACCGGTTGTTCAGTTGTCCCACCGTTCAGTCTATTTGCATATTAGGGTTTTATATATTTAGAATATATATAATATAAGCCACATATGTAATTTTAATTTTTATGTTGCAATATTTAAAAAAGTCTAAAAAGCAGGTGAAATGAATTTTAATGTGTTGTTTAATTCAACATATCTAAAATATCATTTCAACATGTAATCAATATAACAATATTAATTAAGTATTTTATTATGCTTGTGCTGTCTTTGAAATACGGCATATATTGTTATTTTACACTTATGTCATATCACAGTTCACACAAGCCACATTTCAAATGCTTAATAGCCAACTTGTGGTTAGTGGCTCCCATATTGGAAAATGAAGGTCATTACATACATTTATCAACAAAATAAAATAATTCCTTCCAGAATATTTTGCTCAAACACAGTCATAGAAGCATTTGCCAGAAATTCAAGAGTGGCAGCTCTTTCCACTGCACTCTTGTGAATGTAAACTACAATAAATCAGTTTTCCCAACAATGACTATATATTGCTCTGGAGCAATTCTGCTTAAGATAGTCTAGAACAGTGGTCTTCAAACTAGGCTACTGGTACATGAATTCTTTTCAAGAAATATGCAACAGGGAGAGTTTTCAGGTAACTCACTCTATGGTTCTCAATTTGCATATGTATTCTTGTCTAAAATTGATCTGACTATGAAACTTTTGTTCCACTTGCTTAAAACTAAGAATTATTATTCAGCTATTCTCAATACTAATCACTTAAATCTGCAATTAATTGAAAAGAAAAGCACTTCCTAACTAATAGCAGTACACGCTGTTGATTACAATTCTATTAAATATGACTGGAATGATTTCCTGTGCTGCCAAGTGTTTACACGATAAAACTTATGCATAGATATTATTGTGATTTCTTTCAGATATGGTACATCATTCATTAAACTAGTTAGAATCTGTTCTCTCATATTGTATCTTGAAATATTTTTTCCGATTACAGTCAATCCTTATTTTATTGTATAAATAATCAAAATTTCTATCTCCTATTATTAAAAATAAAATATGATGGTTGCCAGACTGATTTTTTTAGCTATATGTATTATTCTCTTTCATAAATATGGTTGAAGAGTTTGATTCTATGGTCTAATTACATTCATAGATTTTTAAATTTTCATATAGGGGTTGGCAAAAGTAGGTTTACAGCTGTGAGTATGTTGAAACACAGAGTTTATTCTTGTATTATTATTTGCTAATTATTTTATTATTTATTTGTATTACAACTGTTAACCTACTTTTGCCCAACCCTGTACATGATTCTTAATTATTTCCAGAAACCAAGCAATAGAGTTCTAACAACATATGTGTATTTGTTTACCAAAGAAAAACCATGCCTGTCATTGGATTCTTTGTTTCATACATGAATTATAATGCTGGCTACATATTACATGAGAAACAAAATTGTTATTTAATTTCTGAATTTATTTTGAAGTGGATACAAATATCATTAAAATTTTAATCTAAGTTTGTTAGTAACTGATTTCTCCATGGTTTTACCAGTGCTCCTCAGAATGCATAGTAATTCAATTTTTTACATTGAAAATGAAGTCAGACACTTTTTTCTGAAGGTAAAGATGACTTGGCTGATTATCTTGATATGAACATTGCCTTTGCCAATTAAGTTTTATTACAAATATTTTCTACGAAATTGATGATCTAAATCTGTGGCCACGGAGCTTTATATTTAAAGGATATAATGAATTAAAGTCATTTTACCAAAATTATTATATTGGCTAAGACATTAAGTATTTTTATTTTCTCAACCTTTGTAAGTATATTGGGTTAAAATAATGCCTCAAAATGAAAGTATGACACATAATAGTTATTTTCAAAATCTTGGTAAGGTCATTTTGGTAGAATTCCCAGAAACTCAGAAATCAATGACTAATCAACAAATCCTTTTGTAAATTGGGGCTTCTTTGCTTTCATGCTATTCAAGAGAGCTCTAACCAAAATGTCTGTTAAAACTATAATTTTTAATTAAATAATTTAAATAATTAAAAATAATTTTTGATGACAGGTCACTGTGTGATTTCTGACCCATGACTTGGACACTCATTCCATTCCCTCCTATTTATGGGAACAAAGTTTTCTGAATTCTTATAACTATAAAAGTGAAAAATAAGAAAAAAATTATACTGCCCTCTGTCTCATTAGATTAGAAGAAAAGTAAAAGTCATCCTCTGAGTCATGAACTAATTTGGGGAAAAATAAACAATCATGCACTTAAGGAATGCATTTCCAATCAAATTCTAGTTTTTATTTTTCATAATTATCAAAATATATAGTATTTTATACTGGCCTAATAAACTGTATACTACTTGTGATTCAATTATAAAAATACTCAGAGGCTTAGAGTTATAGGAAATTTTTTTTCAAACTATATATACTTCTTGCAGTGATTTATGATATGGTGAAAATAAAAGGCTTTTAAGCATAAAATTATATTACATTAGGATAAATTATGTATGAGAAGTTGAATGGAATGGCAATTTCAAGGAGATAATGCAATCATGTAAAATTTCTATTTATGGGTTTTTCTTTATTTTTTACTTTTAAACTAGCAATGATGAGTATCAAGTTACTATGGTATTTTTAGTTCATTAGATCATACAAATGTGATTAAATTATGTTATTGAAAAGCACAAGTATTTATAATATGCTGGAAATAACAGCCACAAATAATTAAATTTATGATAATAAATTTCAGATGCTAACTTAGAGATGTATGATGGGATAGCTAGCTTCTCAAAATTATTTTAGGTGGCCTATAATTAGAAAGTATGAAGACCACTGCTATAGACCACAGTTTTAATAAATTCTAGAGAAAAACTTACCAGGGATGGGGGAATATGACATTTAGAAGGAAAGGTTTATTTTTATGTTATAACTATTTTTAGTTTCTGGATATAGCAGAAATCACTATAACTTGAACTAGCTTATTTGGCAGAGAGGTTATGCAACTTTTCAATAAGTAAAATTTTAGGAATGTTTCAGAGCAATCCACAAATACTGTACTTACTCAATATGGTCACTAGGTGGCAAATATGCCCTGGGAGGGAAGCCTTCTTTCCTGTCTTCCACTGGCTCACTCAAATCTTCCATCTCCTCCTGCAAAAAGGAAAAGGATCCAAACAACAGTGACAATCACTACAAACAAACACCAACAGCAGGAAGTATTTATTTTAGGTCTTTCCATTGACAGGGACAGTAATAAACCCTTGTGATCTCTGAAAATTTCAGAAATGGCCTTGTCTATAAAGTTAATATATTCTTTATTGATATCATTTATGAATAGTATTAATACATCTCTATGATATAAACATGCACTTGGACCACAAAACCCAAACCCTATCCAGCTAAGAACTTCAGCTCTAGCAAAACCAAAAAAGCAACAGCAGCAGTAGCATCTATGACATTCCAAACATGAGGCTAAGCCCTTCATTTCCCTGAATCTTCAAATAGTTCTGAGGGAAGAGCTAACATTACCGCCCTCCCCCCATTTTACAGGTAAGAAAGCAAAATAATGGCCCCAAATCATTGCACTAGTAAGTGCTGAAGCTGGGATGTAAACACAGGTTTGGTTTGTATTCAAATTCAATAGCCATGAGCTTTAATATTACACTGTGTGATGTTTCCATGGTATGTGTAAGTCTCTATGTATCTTTCTATATATACCCATGCATGTTTATATTTCTTTGTTTTCCTGTGATTCTATGCCTGTGAATCTGTGCGTGTGTGTGTGTTGTGTGTGTGTGTGTGTGTGTGTGTGTGTGTGATCACACAACATGTGCATTCCAGATCTCTTAGAAAACTTTCTGGTAATTTCCACATTTGCTTGAATACAGTCATCACAGGGAGCTTAATAACTTTCATTTTCGCTTTAAGAGGCTAAGAAAAAGGTGCATTATAAGTCAATAAGTCACAGCTTCCTTTGAAAAAGTATTTATTCATGTGTCCTTTTATATGTGGTTGAATCTTTATATTTTCATATGTATAAAGCTGTATGAGTCCCTATGTCTGTTTTTGTTTGAGCATAATTAAGTCCATGTATATATTTATATGCTTACGTTGGCAGGTGTCTATGTGTGCACATTCACATATTTAATATACATTTAGGACTGAGTGCTATATGAGCATAGCAGTACATTTGTAGATCAGTGGCTCTGGTAGTTACTTCTACCTTCTTTCCTACCTATCTATAATGCATATCTAGCTCTATATGTCTGTGTGTGTGTGTGTGTGTGTGTGTGTGTGTGTGTGTGTGAGAGAGAGAGAGAGAGAGAGAGAGAGAGAGAGAGAGAGAGAATGCGTGCCAATTGTGCATGTTGACATGTAAGGGTGCATATCTGTGCATTTGAGTCCCTCTGAATATGCCTGTATTTTTAGTATGTCTAGGACCGCATTGCCTGTAGATATATGTGTATATCCTTTACTTTTATATAATGAGGATGTTGTGTATTTGCGTGGGGATATATCTGGCACCTGCGTGTACATCTGCATGTACATTTACAGGGGTGGACAAAGTAGGTTTCAGTTGTGAGTATGCAAAACACAGTTTATTCTTGTATTATTATTTATTAACTAGACACCCAGTGCACAAATTCATGCACACGTGGGGTCCCTCGGCCTGGCTGGTGATCGAGGCCTAGCAAGGGCCTGGCCGGCCAGGGTAAGGGACCCCAGGAGGTTGGCCGGCCAGCCCCCCGATTGGGACTTATCAAAAAGGTCGGCCAGCAGCAGGGAGGGACCACAGGAGGTTGACCTGCTGGCCCTCTCCCCCCAATTGGGGCCCCGGGGTGAGGGACCATGGGAGGTTGGCCAACTGGCGGGGGGGGAGGGGCTGTGTGAGGTTGGCCGGCTGAGGGGGGGAGGGCTATATACAGGGTGGGGCAAAAGTGGGTTTACAGTTGTGAGGATGCAAAACATAGAGTTTATTCTTGTATATTGTTTATTGATTATTGCATTATTTTCTATATGAACAACTGTAGACCTACCTTTGCTCCTTTATGTGTCTATATGTGTAAGTGCATTTACAGAGCTCAGTGTGCATGTGCCTTTAAGGGCTGTTTGGAGTGTGTCACTATCTAAGTCAGTGGTTCTCAACCTTCTGGCCCTTTAAATACAGTTCCTCATGTTGTGACCCAACCATAAAATTATTTTCGTTGCTACTTCATAACTGTAATGTTGCTACTGTTATGAATCGTAATGTAAATATATGGTATGCAGGATGGTCTTAGGCGATCCCTGTGAAAGGGTTGTTCAACTGCCAAAGGGGTTGCGACCCACAGGTTGAGAACCGCTTATCTAAGTGGATGGAACCTTCTCTTTTGGAGGTGCAGTATCCAAATCTATGTACACATACATAAGTCTGTGGGACTGTACCTCTATCCCCAAGTATTTAGCTCTGCATGAGTCCATAGCATCTAAGTCTATGTGGACACATTTAGCCCTTAAGTTTACTGCTTGCATATACTCATCTGTAAGGTAGGTCTTTGTATGTCTATGTATGTGTGTGTACATAATATATACATAATATATGTATGTGTGTGTGTCTGAATGTGAGTCTATGTATCTATGTGTACCTATACATTCTTGTCTGTAAGCCCCTTTATCTGTGTCTAGCTATTTCTATATTCACATTGCATGCCTTGATGTCCATCCATCTGTTCACCCACCTCTATTAGTATGTGTATGTTTGTGTGACCATCTGCATGTGTATGGGGGCATGTGTGTGCGTCTACATAAATCTGTCTGCATGAGAATGAATTTCTTTGGATGACTCTCTCGGTGAATGCATCTGTGTGTCCATGTGCAGATGTTTATGTTGTTGAGTACATGTGAGGATTCTATATGAATGAGAATTTTGTATGCCTGTATGTACATGTATGTCTCTGTTCCTGTATTTGTTTGTGCATGCTCATCTATGTTTGCATGCATACATATGACTATAGACACAAATGTCTGTGCAAGTGCGTGTCAGTGAAGGTGTGTTGGGCTCTGCTATTGTGGATGCACATATTTCTATGTCTGCATGCACAGGTCAATAGACATGCATGCTTGTGTGTGTCTGTCTGCCTCTTGTTCACGTATATGTTTTTATATTTCTATCTCTACCTGTACATCCATGTATAATGTCTGTAAGTATATACAACTGTATGTTTCTATATACATCTGCACAAACTTCTGTGTCCATCTCTTTGTGAGTCTATATGGGTGTGGGTCTGTGTACCTCTCCCAGTGCACATGCCTGTGTCTCTGTGAATTTACCTGCTTTTCTGTGCATATGTGTAACTTTGTATGCTTCTCTTGTGCCTCTGAGGGAATCTATGTGTGAGTGCCAATGTTTGCCTGTATATATCTTCTTGTAGGTCTTTAGGCTTGTGCCTATCTTTGTAGATATATGCCTCTTCATACGAAAACATCTTTGATAAATATATGTCTGTCTGTCTATCTATCTATCTATCTATCTATCTATCAACTATCTACCTATCTATAATGCATATCTAGCTCTATATGAAAGCATATCTCTCTAAATGTATATAACACTGTCTGTATAGTACATACATGTAGAGATCTCTTTATGGATCCACCTCTGTTTTGTCTGTATGTGCATGTATATGCCTCCATGTACCAGTAAATTTATGTGTGCACACCTTTGTGCTTGTGTATTTTCCTATGTACATCCACGCACATAAATATTCTCATGTGTGCCCCATGTGCATTTCCATACATGTGCATGTGTGCACATGAACATGTGCTCATGGTGAGCATGAACACTTAGGTTTCATATACAGGTATGAGCATGCTTATGTATGTGTGTTTTAATGATAACAATGCCTCTGTGTGCATATGCATGTGACTCTGGGAGCATGAAAATGCCACTAAGTACATGTTTAAAACACATGTATCTACCTATGAATGAATCACTGTTTCTGTGTTTGTGTAAATGTGTCTATGTCTCTGCAAATCAGTAAACACACACACACACACCTGTTTCGGCATATGAAGGATTCTATGCATGTGTATGGGTATATATGCACACATACAAACACACATGTGCCTGTGTGGGTTTGTGTATACTTGTGTACATTTCTGCATAAATATCTGGGGGTGTCTCAGAATGTGCCTCATGAGCCTCCAGAAGCATCTTTATGTTTTTATATTTGTGTAAGTGTGTGCACTTGTGTTTTTGCATCTTTGAGGTTATGAATCAGTAAACACATTGTCTGGATGGCATATATACATCTCTGTGTGTTTCTCTGGTCTGTACAATATGGGGTGTATATTTATAATTATATGTTGCTCTGTGTCTACACACAGAACTGTGGGCATTTGTGTGTTACTCTATATATTCATATGTGTATCCATGTATACATGAAATCATGCTTGTTGGGACTCTGGATATTACATTTGTATTGTGCAAACAAATATCCTTGGTTGTGGATTTAAGAATGTATGGTCTGTATGATTATGACACACCTGTGTGTCTATGTCAGTATGAACATCTGTGACACTGCATGTCTATATATATTCTGTTGTGTATGTTCTTGTCTATGATGAATATCTGTGTGTGTAGGTGTGAGCACTTTCTTCTGAACAGACTTCTGGTCATTTACACACCTGTTTTTCTACAATACAGCCAGCCAGAATGGGGTCAAGACTTTCTTCCTATTCTTGAAGTAGCCAAGAAAATAGACATGAAAAGACAGCCTCCTTTAAAAAATATTGATTATTGAAGATGGTAACTATGGCCTAAGTCAGTGGTTCTCACCTTCTGGCCCTTTAAATACAGTTCCTCATGTGACCCAACCATAAAATTATTTTCGTTGCTACTTCATAACTGTAATGTTGCTACTGTTATGAATCGTAATGTAAATATATGGTATGCAGGATGGTCCTAGGCGACCCCTGTGAAAGGGTCGTTCGACCGCCAAAGGGGTCGTGACCCACAGGTTGAGAACCACTGACCTAATGACATAGGATTTTTATAATCTGAACACAAAAAGCAGGTGGCTGTTCAGATCTTCAAATCCCACTGCCATGGTTGGAAACCCTGGCACATACCTATCTTCCTTCCCATCTTTGGCCCTAGGTAGGGCCCACATACTGTTTCCTTCCACCTTCTGCTTCCTCAGGCATGCTTATTACAAAGGGCTCCAAAGTTACTTCTACCTTCTTTCCTAGGAGACAGAAACCAGTGTCATCCCATTTATAAATGAGGACTAGGATCAGAGAGTTTCAGTGCATTGTGTGTGTCACATGGCCAATTATTAGCAGAGGCAGAATTAAAAACCAGACATGACTGACACTGAATCCATATTCTGTCTCCTGTACCACTGACCATTCCTACTATCATATGTGCCTAGATCCCAGCACCAATAAGTGGTGGAGCCAAGCCTTGGAGCAGGCATGTCTACCTCCAAAGACTGTTCTGAACCTTGATTCTTTGCAGAAATTGTCTCATTTAATTCTCAGAATGGCCCAAAAGGAAGTATTTCACTATGTTTACAAATGGGTATACAGACTCAAAAAAGTGAAGTCACTTGTCAAAGCTCTGTGTGAGCATGTCAGTTCTCAGTTCGTATCCTATGGAGCAGCATATTGTTGAGGATTAAATGTGATAGAGTGTGGACCTCAGAAGTGAAGCTAAATGTTCCAGAGTGAGTATATATATTGTGTTGCCTTTCTTGGTCTTATAGACTTTCTGAGTATTGTGTAGCAATGCTTGGTATTATTAAGGATGTCTGTAAAGTTTGGGGCAAGTCTGCATGTTGTGGGATGAATGTGTGTTGTGGATTATGCCTCCCTGTGTATGTAGTAGTATCAGTGTGTGAGAACCATGGGAGTGAGTGCCAGTCTTCTGGCCTAGTTTCTGGGTTAGGTAGCATGTCTCTGTGTAGTGTTGTAAGGTTCGGTGTTGTGGGGTGAGTCAGGTGAGATGAGGTGAGTCTGGAAGAGAAAATCTTTTTGTTACAGGGAAGTCTCTTTGTGTTGTGGGTTGAATCTATGATTTTGGGGGTGACGAGTCTTATGTTCTGGGGTGAGTCTGTCTGAAGGAAAGTGGATCTAGGTGTTATGAAGCAAATATATGAGTTGCATGATGTGTAAGTAAATTGTAGGTCCTGTGAATGAGTTTCTTGTGGTGTCAGACTATCAATAGTATGACTCATGTGTGCACTGTGAGGCTGTTCTCTACATTAAGGGAGGCATAGCTAGGGGGTGTAAGATAAAGCTGTACATTGTGGGTTGTCTCTATGAATTATGGGCCCTGTGGGTCCTGAGCATCTGGTTTGGAGTGACTGTGCTTTGTGGGAGTGATTTTAGTGTTGTGTATTTTATGACTGTGATTTTTAGATATACTGTCAGGGAAATCTATGGATTGTGGAACATGTCCTCACATTGTAGGGCATGTCTAGATATTGTGGTCTATACATGGCAGTCTGTACATTGTGGGATATATTATGAATTGATGGGATGAGACTGTGTGTCAAGGGTTGATTCTAGAGATTCTATAGTAAATCACTGTGTCATAGGGGCAGTCTTTGTATTTTAGTGTATGTCTTTGCTTTGTGGGAAATCTATGTGAATTTTATTTATTTTATCAGCTGCCTCTTGCACACCCCCTACTATGGATGTGCCCACAACCAAGGTACATGCCCTTGACTAGAATCGAACCTGGGACCCTTCAGTCCGCAGGCCGACGCTCTATCCACTGAGCCAAACCGGTTAGGGCTCTATGTGAATTTTTAAAATGTGTTTTAAAAGTCTGTTGTGTGTGGGGTTGTGCCATAGTATGGCATTTCAGCAGGTTGTGGTCCAATGTTGTGCATTATGGTGCAAGCCTGCATTATGTAACCTAATTCTGGTTGTTGTATTGGATGTGTCCTGGTGTTGTCAAGAGAGTGTGGGTTATTAGGGGCAAGTGTGGATGTGAGAGAGCTTGTATTTGTTATGTGGGATCACTCTGTGTACAGTAAGACATATCTGCTTTATGGTATAATTCTGTGTTATGTGGTATGCCAGTGTGTAACTGAGCATGTCTTGAGTTTTGGATCTTTATGTTGGGTGATGATTTTTGTGTGGGGTGAGTTTGTGTTGCAGGGCATGGCTGTGAATCATAGGCTATGTCTCTCAATAGTGTGGGGCAAGTCTGTATATCATGAGGCTTGTCTATAGTAATGTGGATCATGTATTGATTTTGTGGGGTGATGATACAATGATACTTTGTGTATGTAGGAGAGTCTGAGTATGGAGGAGCATGTTAGTGCATTGTGGGGAGAACTTTATATGAGTTAAGTTTGTATGTTGTGATTTGATTCTAGGTGACTTGGAGTAATAGTGTCAATAATACAAGTTAAAAAATGAATTTGCATTTGGAGAAATTATGAGCATGATGTGGTCATTCTGGGACTGTTTGGGAGTATCTATGTATGTTCAAGAGATTTTGTACATTGTAGGATGCATCTTTTCATTGGAATTTTTACCAAGGTGTTGTGGGGGTGAGTATGTGCACCATGGACTGTGTCCAGGTTGTAGGTCATGTGTGACTTTTGGTGCAAGGCTGTATGGTAAAGCATTTCTGGTGAAGAACATAAGTGTGCACTATGGAGTCTGCTTTCATCCTGTGGGGCAAGCCTGTGTGTCCTGCGGCAATTTTGGGTGTTGGGAACACAAGTTTTCTTTGTAGGGTATTTGTCTTGTGGAGAGATCCTGTGTGTGTTGGGGTGAATCTGTGTACCAGAATGAAATTTTGTGTTTGTGGTAAAAACCTTTCTGTCGTAGGGTATATCTGTCTATAGTAAGACAGCTATGTGAATATATTATGGAGCTAATTTATGCATTTTAAGACATGTCTTAGTGGCTAGACTGAATTTTGGATATGCTGGATGTCTGTGGTCAATTCTTACTATAGGGGGGTGAGTATACATTGTAGAGTAAGGCGGTACATTATAGGGAGATTTTTGCATTATAGAACTTACCTCTGTGTTATAGGGAATATCTCAATATTATGGGTTAAGTCTGGGCATTGTGGGGCAAGCCTGTTCATTGTAAGTGCATTGTAAGTATTATGAGGCATTTCTGTAGTATATGGTGTAAGACTGAGTTTTTATGCAAACCTATGTGTAATACTGATATTGGATGACTTATGGAGCAAGTCTTGGCATCTTTTGGAGAATTTTTGACTTGTGAGATAAATTTGTGCATTGTGATGTGATTCCATGTGCTGTTATGGTAGTCTTATGTCATGGAGGATGTGTGACAGTCCAAGTTGGTCTAGATATTGAGAGGTGAGTGTAGAGTTATGGAAGAAACTGGGCATTGTAAGGCTCATATGCATGTTGTGGATTGTATCTTGGTGTTGTGCTGCATGTTTGTGTATTTGGAGGCATATCTAGTGGTTGTGGTGTACTCTGAGTTAATTATTTGCTTTGTGAATGAGTCTCTGCATTGTGTGATAACCCTGTTTGTAGGGGTGAAAGTCTATGAATTGTAGGATAAATTTGGAAGTTGTGTAAAATTCTACACATTGTGGGGCAAATCTATTTTTCTGTGGCATGTTTAGAGCTACTGGATAAGTCTATGCTGGTGGAGGAGGGGGTGAATCTATGTGTTTGAGGATGTGAGAAGATATTATTAATTGGTCCATTCATTATTGAATGTATGTTTTTAGAAATGTTTGTAAGCTGTTATGCAATACTGTGTGTTTCTGGGGAGTCTATCTTATGAAGCATATTTGTGTATTGTGGGATGTATTGTGATGTATACAGGAGTTGTCGGGGGAACCTGTGTATTTTGGAATGAATGTGGTTGGTTTTTTTGCAATTTGGGGTACTATGAAATGAATTTGGACATTGTATGGAGAAGTCTGTAATGTTATTGCATTCTGAGCATTGTTTTGGGAGTGTCTAAGTTGTGAATGGTGTCTGCACATTGTAATGTGTGTCTGGGCATTGTGGGACAAATGTGAGTTGTGAATTGATTCTGTGTGAGGGTTAATGTATGTGCTATGCTTTGTTTCATGTGGGGTGAGTTTTGTGTATTTTGGGCTGAGTGTGAGGGTTTGGTGCAAATTTGGGAATTGTGTGGTGTGTGGTGGGGTGAATCATTGTCTGGGGTAGGTCTGTGAGTTGTTGGTCTTAGTTGTGCATTATGATGCAATTCTATACATTGTAGGACAACTCAAAAACTTGTAAGCTGAATTTGAGTGCTGTTGTTTCTTTCTATCCATTGCAGGGCAACCATAAGCTTGGTAAGGGTGTTCCTATGGGACACGTTTTCATGTTATATTATGAATTTGAAGCTATTTTTAGAGCCTGTGTGTGGTACTGTGAGTTTGAGACTCCGGGTCCAATCTGTCTGTTTTGGTACAAGTCTGGAATTTGTGGAGCTAGTGAAGTGTGAGGCAAAGTATGTGTTAAGCTATTTTATGCCTTGAATAGTGAGCTGACAGGCTGCAATGGAATCCTGTGTTGTGCAAGGGCATCTACATCTGGGGCAAGTCTCTACATTGTAGTGTTTATACATGTTATACATGTATACATGTTATACATGTAGTGCATGTGTGTGCACTGCTTGGGCAAATTTATGCACCAAGGGGTAAGTGAGTTAACTGTAGGACAGTTCTATATATTGTAGGACAGATTGTGTATTGTGATGCTATTCTATGCCTTCTTGGGAGAGGTGGTTACATGTTGTCATTGACCATAAGTGTTCTAGAGTCAGTCTTTGTGCTGAGAGATGTGTGTGTGTACGAGTTTTGTGTCTACTCTGAGTATTTTGTGGCACATCTATGTGTCATGAGTTGACCTTATACAACATGTGGGGAATCTGTATGCTCTGGGGTTGTTTTGTGTACTTTGGTGTGGGTCTGAGTGGTGGGCAGTGTCTTGGCACTGCATCTAGGAATTGTAAAGGAAGTCTAGATGACCGTGTTATGGGAAGAGATGCATGTTGGAGCATGTTTCTGCACTGTAGAAAGAGTCTTGTGACATGAGATGTGTCTCCCCATTATGACTTGATACTGTGCATTGTGGGTCATATCGACACTTTGGGATATGATTCTGTGCTTTCTAGGAAGAGTCTGAATTGTGCATTTGTGACTGTGCATTGGCCTTTTTACAATTTATGTTGTACAATCGGCTCACAGTTGGTGGGATGAGTCTGAGTAGAGGGCTGTGGA